ATCAAGGATCAAGTATCAAGTATCAAGGATCAAGTATCAAGTATCAAGTATCAAGTATCAAGTATCAAGTATCAAGTATCAAGTATCAAGTATCAAGTATCAAGTATCAAGTATCAAGTACCAAGTATCAAGTATCAAGTATCAAGTATCAAGTATCAAGTATCAAGTATCAAGTATCAAGTATCAAGTATCAAGTATCAAGTATCAAGTATCAAAGTATTCAAGTTATCAAGTATCAAGTATCAAGTAATCAAAGTATCAAGTATCAGTATCAAGTATCAAGTTCAAGTATCAAGTATCAAGTATTCAAGTATCAAGTTATCAAGTATCAAGTATCAAGGTATCAAGTATCAAGTATCAAGTATCAAGTATCAAGTATCAAGTATCAAGTATCAAGTATCAAGTATCAAGTATCAAGTATCAAGTATCAAGTATCAAGTATCAAGTATCAAGTATCAAGTATCAAGTATCAAGTATCAAGTATCAAGTATCAAGTATCAAGTATCAAGTATCAAGTATATCAAGTATCAAGTATCAAGTATCAAGTATCAAGTATCAAGTATCAAGTATCAAGTATCAAGTATCAAGTATCAAGTATCAAGTATCAAGTATCAAGTATCAAGTATCAAGTATCAAGTATCAAGTATCAAGTATCAAGTATCAAGTATCAAGTATCAAGTATCAAGTATCAAGTATCAAGTATCAAGTATCAAGTATCAAGTATCAAGTATCAAGTATCAAGTATCAAGTATCAAGTATCAAGTATCAAGTATCAAGTATCAAGTATCAAGTATCAAGTATCAAGTATCAAGTATCAAGTATCAAGTATCAAGTATCAAGTATCAAGTATCAAGTATCAAGTATCAAGTATCAAGTATCAAGTATCAAGTATCAAGTATCAAGTATCAAGTATCAAGTATCAAGTATCAAGTATCAAGTATCAAGTATCAAGTATCAAGTATCAAGTATCAAGTATCAAGTATCAAGTATCAAGTATCAAGTATCAAGTATCAAGTATCAAGTATCAAGTATCAAGTATCAAGTATCAAGTAAGTATCAAGTATCAAGTATCAAGTATCAAGTATCAAGTATCAAGTATCAAGTATCAAGTATCAAGTATCAAGTATCAAGTATCAAGTATCAAGTATCAAGTATCAAGTATCAAGTATCAAGTATCAAGTATCAAGTATCAAGTATCAAGTATCAAGTATCAAGTATCAAGTATCAAGTATCAAGTATCAAGTATCAAGTATCAAGTATCAAGTATCAAGTATCAAGTATCAAGTATCAAGTATCAAGTATCAAGTATCAAGTATCAAGTATCAAGTATCAAGTATCAAGTATCAAGTATCAAGTATCAAGTATCAAGTATCAAGTATCAAGTATCAAGTATCAAGTATCAAGTATCAAGTATCAAGTATCAAGTATCAAGTATCAAGTATCAAGTATCAAGTATCAAGTATCAAGTATCAAGTAAGGAGAGATGCTTTTAAAAGATTTTAAGAGAAATTTAAAAAAAGTGATTCAAAAAAGTGATTCAAAAAAGTTAAGTGATTCAAAAAAGTTAAGTGATTCAAAAAAGTTAAGTGATTCAAAAAAGTGATTCAAAAAAGTTAAGTGAATCAAAAAAGTGATTCAAAAAAGTGATTCAAAAAATAATTCAAAAAAGTTTTTTGAATTCAAAAAATAATTCAAAAAATGATTCAAAAAAGTTTTTTGAATTCAAAAAATAATTCAAAAAATGATTCAAAAAAGTTTTTTGAATTCAAATAATAATTCACTTGATTTAAAAAGGAATGTTTCAAAAAAAACAAAAAAAATTTTAAACTTTTTATTGTTTTCAATAGTTACATTTGGGAAATTTTTAATCAAGTTTAAATATAGATTCTCTTTTTAATTAAAAAAATTCCGTTTGCTTTCACAGTTTTAATTGTTTTTTTGCTGGGTGAGGCTATGTCGTGTGATGAACTAATGCCAGCTGCCAGCAAAAGAGCAGTGAGGGCAGTACAATATTATTCTATTCTAGAGATTTTTTTGTATTACAAAATGTTCTTGTAACAGTGATAACAAAAAATAAATAACTTGATACGTATATTTTGTTCTCAATTGAAGCTACTAGTAGTGAAACACCATAGGCCCTTTGATTGACTACTAGTAGCTACCTTAGACCTCGATGAGGGATGGACCGGAATGATGATGGTGACAGCGCCGAATTCGAAGTGGTGATGGTGAATAGTACTCAATCCCTACAACAATAAGATTATCCAGTAAACCTGTAGACATGATTTCATTGTCCTACCTAAGAATGTTGGTCTTTGTTGACAACTGCAGAGGTGACTAGTTCCTTCGGTCTTCGCAACGGAAAAGTGTCGTCGTTAGCTAGCGATGGAGGTAGGTACTGCTTGAGACCGGCTGAAAAGTGAAGTCTGATTAAAAAAGATCTTTTGATGGGTAAGTATGTATCCCATAAGAACTGAGAAATTTGGCCTGTAGAGTCCATAATTTCAAACAGTTCCAAGATTGGGCTTCTAGAACAAAAGTTACAGTCCTTTGAATTTTCTTTCGAAATTGGTTTCTAGTCCATAACTTTTGATTGAGAAGTCTAATCGAAAAAGTACGAATTGTTTTGGATTCTACGCACCAAAATTAATAAGAAAAAGTTTCCCCGAGAAATTTTGGTGAAGCCGATTTTTGGTAAAAAAGGAAGGTTGTACACTGCCTTTTTTTGAGGCCCAAAAAAAATTGTCTCAGATCCACCCGGAAAAACAATTTTCTTATAGAATCAAGAATGTGGCCTGTAGAATCCATAATTTCAAACAGTTGCAAGATTGGGCTACTAGATCAAAATGGCCGGTTTTTCGGTAAATCTAGTATGACGAGTTGCCTATACACCAGGGTGCACAATCCTAACTCTCATAATAAAGCTTTTTTACATATTTTTAAAGTTCATATTGAAATTTTGAGGCCATTACCCATACGTATGACATTTCAATAAATTTAAACAGATGTAAATAAGTACTAGAGAGTTTTAATGATACGAAAATATGAAATTAGTATTCATTCTTTCCGCGCGTTAACAAATCAATTGTTGGGAACATGAAGCCATTGTAATTCAATAAACAATGATGAAACGATAATGCAGCATCCAATTATCAATGCTGAAGTTTATGTGTTTTGTAAATCTTTGATCTTGTACTGCCTAAATGTAGCAACACAAAGCAAAATTTCAAAAATAAATCGTTTCGACATCTAACGTTATTTCTCTGAACTGAATTGTAAATGTTACCAATAAATGCAGGGCGCTAACTTATCACCATCATAATGTGACATCATATTCGCATAGATGTCGCTACCGTATGACAGAAACCTGCAACTAACCTACTAGTAATAATATGATCGATTCAGCAAACTAATGTCAGATGTCAGACCGAAGTATATTTTAAATTTAAAAAAATCAAAATGCAATTTTGATACATTTAGACAGTATATGTACTTTATTTCTTAGTCTAAGGTATGTACAAGTAACAAATTTACAAAACACATAAACTTCAGCGTTTATAATTATTGCTGCATTACTTTTCATCATTGTTTATTCACAACAAACGATTAGTTAACGCGCGGAAAGAATGAATACTAAATTCATATTTTTGTTTCATACAACCACTTCGAGTTTCGAGTTTAATGAAATGCTGTACGTAAGGATAATAGCTTCAAAATTCTATTATATACTTTCAAAAATAGGTAAAAAGGCTCGTTTGGAAAGTACACCCTGGTGTGTAGGCAACTCGTCTAACCGCATGACGTAAAAGCGGCCATGTTTTTAGCCATTTTGTATGTATAGAACACGAAATCTAAAGGCGAAGGATCAGGAGAACATAAACCAACAAGGATAATTGTACATTTTTGGGAGTGGCTATGAAAATGCCGATAATGTCGTTTCCTATATTGACTGAGTAGTAAATTAACCTCAAAGGCAGAAACAGTTGTTTACTTTTTTCATCATTAAAGTGAACGTTTTTTTGTAATTCTTCCTGCTCCTACTATTTCAAAATATGAAAATGGAACTTCAATTGAAAGTTTCGTTCATGGAATCGACTCTCATGTTAGGTCTGGCTATTGGGTGAAATGCTCTGGCTTAGCTGATCCCAATGTAGGGGGGTTTGGGATGGTAAACTTGGTCTTGGCCTTGCTGTTGAAACAGTTACACAGTACTCATATAGACGTTAGCGTAATTAAGACCAATGGCCACTTTCAAAGTACATAACCAGATCGAAAGCCTCGGTAGGTAATTAAACTACAAATTATATATTTCTTTCCCGCTTACTGACACTTTTTAGGGTCACTTTTTGTATTGCAATTGAAGATAAAGTGATTCCAAGAAGAGAAGTTCCACAAGAAACTTGAGACAAATACCAACAGAAATATCTTTCGGGTTGTTTTAGAAAAGGAGACCCCTTCTGCCAAGAGAGTCAAGGGTTAAACTTCCTTACAAATCTGTGGCGGATATTCAGTAATTAGAAGGACATCCTATTTATCACAAGAAGCAAATGCACATTAGTAGATTTTGTAGTATCAATTTGTTAAACGATTTGTGTTTGTTTATCCGCAGTATAAGTTATGCATGCACGAATTCGCTTATGCTTTGTGGAGATGTATTGTTCTTAGATATAAATTTCATGTTTCCAAGAGGTTCGAATTTGGCAAATAAACAGATAATTAAATATTCAATGTTCGTAATGAGTTCTATTTTCAAAAAAAGGTTTAAAAATGGCCTGAATTCTTAATAAATGGTTACCAAGTTTGTTAAGAAATGCTGCACTGAAAAGAATGCATAAAGAGGCTTTTAAGGTTGCCGCATATTTGCCCGTTCCGGCGATGGTTTGCGCTAACGCACACATGAATCTTGACGGAACGGGATAATGTGCGCAGAGATGTTTAATTCAATGTCTTTCATGTTGAACGTTTTTTAACGTGACGAAATGGAACGGACAAGTGTGCGGCAATCTTTATGTGGTATACTTGATCTGTCAAAACCATTATTTCAGTTCAATTGAAACAACAAATGGTAGTCTATGTGTAGATCGTTAACGATTTACTTAATCAAATAGGGTATTGATGAATCGACAGTGGATGGCTCTGTACGATCAATCCTTTCGTATGAGTGGTAAGTTTTGAGCAATCCTACCGTCGCGATATCCTTTCAGATTGATCGTAATGATGGATCATTCTCTATACGGAGCCTATCATGAAGAAGTTTATCACCCAGTCGTAAACACATATCGAGTGCTGGAGACATAAAAGTTAATGAAGTACACAGCAACCAATTTTAAACGCTGAAGATTATTTGTTTTGTAAATTTGTTACTTGTACATACTGCCGAAATGTATCAAAATTATCTACATTCCCTCTGTTTTTTTGTGGTAGTTCCTAAAATGAAAAGAACTTATCCTTCTGACATCTAATGTTAGTTTGCTGAATCGATTACATTCCGACTAGTAAGTTAGCTGCAGTTTTCTGTCATACAGTAGCGACATCTATGCGAATACGATATAACATTATGGTCGCAATAATTCAGTGCCCTGCATTTAATGGTAACAACTACAATTCAGTTCAAGGAAATAACGTCAGATGTCGAAAGAAATATTTGTTGAAATTTTGCTTTTTGTTACTGCATTTATTTACAAAACACATAAACGTCAGCATTTATAATTGGATGGTGCATTAACGGTTCATCATTGTTTATTCAATTACAATGGTTTCACGTTCCCAACAATTGATTTGTTTACGCGCGGAAATAATGACTATTAATTTCATATTTGCCTTTCATAAAACCTCGCTAGTACTTATTTACATCATTCCAATTCCGTGCATACGGTTAATGGTCTCAAAATTCCAATATATACTTTAAAAATGCTATATTAGGAGGGTTAGGATTATGCCCCCTGGTGTATAGGCAACTCGTCATACTCGATGACTGAAAAACCGGCCATGTTTTTTGCCATTTTGTATATATAGAACATAAAATCTGAAGCCGGACGACCAGGAGAACATGAACTGAAGAAGGATTAATTTTCAATATTAGAGCGTTTATTATAATGCCGATAATATCGTTACCTATATTTTGTGGTAAAATTAACCTCAAATAGTTATTTACTTTTTTCATTATAAAAATGAACGTTTTTTTGTAATTCTTCTTGCTTTTACAAGTTCAAAATAAGAAAATGGAATTTCAATTGAAAGTTTCATTCATGGAATCGTCGCAAGTTCGGTTTGGCTTTTGGGTAAAATGGACTTATCGCTCTGGTTCTGCCGATCCGAAGACCCTGTGGTTCTTGATGGATGGGAAAGCATGCAAAGGAGAAAAGGGGGTTTGAAATGTAAAGCTAGGTCTGGACATTACTGTTGAAAGAGATATGCAGTGCTCATATACCTAGACGTTAGCATAATTAAGACTCACTTTACATTACCAGATCGAAAGCCTTGGTACGTAATTAAAATACGAGAAAATATAAATTATAATTTCTTTTACACCTACTAACACTTATTAGGGTAACTTTTGAAATGCAATAATGGTAAACTGAATCCAATACCAGAAGTTCCACAAGAAACTTGAGACAAGTACTAACGGAAGATTCTTTCGGGTAGCTTTAGAAAAGCGGACACATTCTGCCAAGGGAGACACGAAACTGGTTAAACTGCTTACACATCCATAACAGATATTCAGTGAGCAGAAGGACTTTCCATTCATCACAAGAAGCAAACAAACATTAGTCGATTTTGTAGTATCAGTTTGTTAAACGATTCCTGTTTGTTTATCCGTAGTATAAGTTACTCATGCATGAATTCGCTTATGCTTTTTTAGAGATGTATTTATTTCGTTATTATTCCAAAAGGTTCGAATTTGGCAAATAAACAGTCATCAATATTTGTAATGAGTTCTATTTCCAAAAAGTTTTAAAAATGGCCTCAATTCTTAGTAAATGGTTACCAAGTTTGTTAAGAAATGCTACACTGAAAACAATGCATACAGAGGCCCTTATAGGGTATGACTGATCTGTCAAAGCCATTATTTCTGACCAATTGAAACAACAAATCGATAGTGTACGTGAATAAGATGGTTAACGATTTACTTAATCAAATAGAACAGTGAATGGCTCTTTACAATCAATGATTCGTTGATGGTCTCAGTCTAACGTATAGAATTATTTGAGCACGTTAATGTTCATTTTCAAAGATGGTAACGATCGACCCTTTTGTGTCAGAGTGGTAAGTTTATCCTAAGAGATTGATCGTAAGGACGGATCATTCCTATGGGGCCTATCATGATGAAGTCGATCAGCCAGAGGTAAACACATACCAAGTGTCGGAGATAAATAAAGTTAATGGTGTACTGAAGTTTATGTGTTTTGTAAATTTGTTATTTTTACTTGTACATCTGAAATGATTTACATTCCCTCTGTGTTTTTATGGTTGTTCCTAAAATCATTGATAGTTATAAATTCAATGCTAAAATATAAAAGAACATATCCTTCTGACATCTAATGTTAGTTTGCTGAATCGATTATATTATTACTGGTAGGTTAGCTGCAGTTTTCTCTCATACAGTAGCGACATCTACACGAATACGAGGCCACATTATGATGGTAATAATTTAGTGCCCTGCATTTAATGGTAACCTTTACAATTCAGTTCAAGAAAATAACGTCAGATGTCGAGACGATGTATTTTTTTAAATTTTACTTAGTTATTACATTTAGGCAGTACAAGATAACAAATTTACAAAATACAAAATCTTCAACATTTATAATTGGTTACTGTATTAACATTTCGTTATTGTTTATTCGATTACAATGGTTTCACGTTCGCAACAATTGATTTTTTACGCGCGGAAAGAATGACTATTAATATCATATTTGCCTTTCATAAAACCTCTAAAGTACTTATTTACATCATTCCAATCCCGTACGTACGGTTAATAGTCTCAAAATTCCAATATATACTTTAAAAATGTATAAAAATGCTTTATTAGGAGCGTTAGGATTATGCCCCCTGGTGTATAGGCAACTCATCATACTCGATGACTGTAAAACCGGCCATGTTTTTTTGCCATTTTGTATATACAGAACATAAAATCTGAATCCGGACGACCAGGAGAATATCAACTAAAGAAGGAGTTATTTAGATAATTTAAGTGTTAATTTTAATGTCGATAATATCGTTTTCTATATTTTGTGGTAAAATTACCCTGAACTGAATAGTTATTTACTTTCTTCATTATTAAAATGAACCTTTTTTTTTTGTAATTCTTCTTGCTTTTACAAGTTCAAAATAAGAAAATGGAATTTCAATTGAAAGTTTCATTCATGGAATCGTCGCAAGTTCGGTCTGGCTTTTGGGTAAAATGGACTTATCGCTCTGGTTCTGCCGATCCGAAGACCCTGTGGTTCTTGATGGATGGGAAAGCATGCAAAGGAGAAAAGGGGGTTTGAAATGTAAAGCTAGGTCTGGACATTACTGTTGAAAGAGATATGCAGTGCTCATATACCTAGACGTTAGCATAATTAAGACTCACTTTACATTACCAGATCGAAAGCCTTGGTACGTAATTAAAATATAAATTATAATTTCTTTTACACCTACTAACACTTATTAGGGTAACTTTTGAAATGCAATAATGGTAAACTGAATCCAATACCAGAAGTTCCACAAGAAACTTGAGACAAGTACTAACGGAAGATTCTTTCGGGTAGCTTTAGAAAAGCGGACACATTCTGCCAAGGGAGACACTAAACTGGCTTACAAGTCCGTAACAGATATTCAGTGAGCAGAAGGACTTCCTATTCATCACAAAAAGCAAACGAACATTAGTCGATTTTGTAGTATCAGTTTGTTAAACGATTCCTGTTTGTTTATCCGTAGTATAAGTTACTCATGCATGAATTCGCTTATGCTTTTTTAGAGATGTATTTATTTCGTTATTATTCCAAAAGGTTCGAATTTGGCAAATAAACAGTCTGTGTAATTAAGTCATCAATGTTTGTTAATGAGTTCTATTTCCAAAAGTTTTAAAAATGGCTTCAATTCTTAGTAAATGGTTACCAAGTTTGTTAAGAAATGCTACACTGAAAACAATGCATAAAGAGGCCTGTGTATGTGAAGATCGTTAACGATTTACTTAATCAAATAGACAGTGAATGGCTCTTTACGATCAAAGATTCGTTGATGGTCTCAGTCTAACATATAGAATTATTTGAGCTCGTTAATGTTCAGTTTCAAACATGGTAACGATCGATCCTTTTGTGTCAGAGTGGTAAGTTTGGAGCAACCTACTGTCGAGCAGCCAGAGGTAAACACATACCAAGTGTCGGAGATAAATAAAGTTAATGATGTACTGAAGTTTATGTGTTTTGTAAATTTGTTACTTGTACATCTGTACTACATTCCCTCTGTTTTTTTAATGGTTGTTCCTAACATTTAAAAGAACATATCCTTCTGACATCTAATGTTAGTTTGCTGAATCGATTATATTCTGACTAGTAGGTTAGCTGCAGTTTTCTGTCATACAGTAGCGACATCTACACGAATACGAGGCCACATTATGATGGTAATAATTTAGTGCCCTGCATTTAATGGTAACCTTTACAATTCAGTTCAAGGAAATAACGTCAGATGTCGAGACGATGTATTTTTTTAAATTTTACTTAGTTATTACATTTAGGCAGTACAAGATAACAAATTTACAAAATACCTAAAGTGTTTATTCAATGAAAATACATAATCTTCAACATTTATAATTGGTTGCTGTATTAACATTTCGTTATTGTTTATTCAATTACAATGGTTTTTACGTTCGTAACAATTGATTTGTTTACGCTCGGAAAGAATGACTATTAATTTCATATTTGCCTTTCATAAAACCTCTAAAGTACTTATTTACATCATTCCAATCCCGTACGTACGGTTAATAATCTCAAAATTCCAATATATACTTTAAAAATGTATAAAAATGCTTTATTAGGAGCGTTAGGATTGTGCCCCCTGGTGTATAGGCAACTCGTCATACTCGAAGACTGAAAAACCGACCATTTTTTTTTGCCATTTTGTATATACAGAACATAAAATCTGAATCCGGACGACCAGGAGAATATGAACTAAAAAAAGAGTTATTTCGCTAATTCAAGTGTTAATTTTAAATGTCGATAATATCGTTCCCTATATTTTGTGGTAAAATTACCCTCGAATAGTTATTTACTTTCTTCATTATTAAAATGAACGTTTTTTTGTAATTCGTCTTGCTTTTACAAGTTCAAAATAAGAAAATGGAATTTCAATTGAAAGTTTCATTCATGGAATCGTCGCAAGTTCAGTCTGGCTTTTGGGTAAAATGGAACTTATCGCTCTGGTTCTGCCGATCCGAAGACCCTGTGGTTCTTGATGGATGAGAAAGCATGCAAAGGAGAAAAGGGGGTTTGAAAGGTAAAGCTAGGTCTGGACATTACTGTTGAAAGAGATATGCAGTGCTCATATAGACGTTAGCATAATTAAGACTCACTTTACATTACCAGATCGAAAGCCTTGGTACGTAATTAAATATAAATTATAATTTCTTTTGCACTTACTGACACTTATTAGGGTAACCTTCAAAATGCAATTAATGATAAACTGAGTCCAATACCAGAAGTTCCACAAGAAACTTGAGACAAGTACTAACGGAAGATTCTTTCAGGTAGTTTTGGAAAAGCGGTCACATTCTGCCAAGGGAGACAAGAAACTGGTTAAACTGCTTACAAGTCCGTAACAGATATTCAGTGAGCAGAAGGACTTCCCATTCATCATAAGAAGCAAACGAATATTAGTCGATTTTGTAGTATCAGTTTGTTAAACGATTCCTGTTTGTTTATCCATAGTATAAGTTACGTATGTATGAATTCGCTTATGCTTGTTTAGAGATGTATTTATTTCATTATTATTCCAAAAGGTTTGAATTTGGCAAATAAACAGTCTGTGTAATTAAGTCATCAATATTTGTAATGAGTTCTATTTCCAAAAGTTTTAAAAATGGCTTCAATTCTTAGTAAATGGTTACCAAGTTTGTTAAGAAATGCTACACTGAAAACAATGCATAAAGACCCCTGTGTATGTGAAGATCGTTAACGATTTACTTAATCAAATAGGACAGTGGATGGCTCTTTACGATCAATGATTCGTTGATGGTCTCAGTCTAACGTATAAAATTATTTGAGCATGTTAATGTTCGTTTTCAAAGATGGTAACGATCGATCCTTTTGTGTCAGAGTGGTAAGTTTTGAGCAATCTACTGTCACGATATCCTAAGAGATTGATCGTAACGACGGATCATTCCTATGGGGCCTATCATGATGAAGTCGATCATCCAGAGGTGAACACATACCAAGTGTCGGAGACAAATAAAGTTAATGGTATACTGAAGTTTATATGTTTTGTAAATTTGTTACTTGTACATCTGTACTACATTCCCTCTGTTTTTTTATGGTTGTTCCTAACATTTAAAAGAACATATCCTTCTGACATCTAATGTTAGTTTGCTGAATCGATTATATTCTGACTAGTAGGTTAGCTGCAGTTTTCTGTCATACAGTAGCGACATCTACACGAATACGAGGCCACATTATGATGGTAATAATTTAGTGCCCTGCATTTAATGGTAACCTTTACAATTCAGTTCAAGGAAATAACGTCAGATGTCGAGACGATGTATTTTTTAAATTTTACTTAGTTATTACATTTAGGCAGTACAAGATAACAAATTTACAAAATACATAATCTTCAACATTTATAATTGGTTGCTGTATTAACATTTCGTCATTGTTTATTCAATTACAATGGTTTTTACGTTCGTAACCATTGAATAAGATATTATTCAATGTTCGTAACAATTGATTTGTTTACGCTCGGAAAGAATTACTATTAATTTCATATTTGACTTTCATAAAACCTCTAAAGTACTTATTTACATCATTCCAATCTCGTACGTACGGTTAATGGTCTCAAAATTCTAATAATAAAAATAAATAAAATAGGATCGTGCCCCCTGGTGTATAGGCAACTCGTCATACTCGATGACTGAAAAACCGGCCATGTGTTTTGCCATTTTGTATAGAACTAAAAATCGGAAGACGGCCGACCAGGGGAGAACATGAACTGAGGAAGGATATATTTTCATTAATCAGGTGTTTATTATTTAGCCGATAATATCGTTGCGGACGTGCTTCATCTGGCTGTTCTAGTGACATGCTAAAAACTCTTTTAAGTATGATTCACACAAAAGTGCCTTTAGATAAGGCCTACACGAAGTTAAGGATTGGAGGTATTAAAGAAGCGTCTTTTAAGACATTTTGAGCGACGGACCACCCACAATCTACATTGTTTTGAATGTCAAAAAATACGGCTCAATAACACGATCCCCATCATGTTACATCTATGCACCAATTTGAAACCATTTTATTGTTTAATTACTATTAGGTACTTAGCACGGCCCGGTCAATTTAATTTTTTTAAAAATAGTAGGCCTCTTTTTCTATTTAAGCTCTTAACAATGACTCAATCGCTCCGTCAAAAAGGTTTTAGCAGGAGAGAAATATATTAAAAGTATACACTTCCTCCTCCAAAACTAAGGTTTCTCTGTCCGAACGTATTTGCAAAAAGTAAACCTGGGTGAAAACTCCTCGATGCACCACCTAATCTATTGCATTAATTATTATCATAAAGTCAAAACTCACTCTTTTCCCGTGAAGTATCGACATCTCGGGCAGCATCGCGTTGGTAATCGAAGAAATGAATCCATAAACATTCCATCAGGAGCAATGGAAGTTGAAATATTTGTCGCACCCGGATATTCTGTTCCAAAGTGGTGTTGGACAAAGCATCTTTTCATCTTTTTATCTGCATCAAGAAGAAAATAGGTGAAAAGCGGAAAGCGGAAAAATTGTTTGAGGTAGGGATCCAATCTTGAACATTCAGGTAGTTCAGGTCAGAATCTATAAGAAAAAGTCATTTTCTGATCGACCTAAAATTTGTTGACTTTCAGTGCGAACAAATTACCTATGTCGTATAGAATCCAAAAGGTTATGAATTTTCAAGATTGGACGATTACATCAAAAGTGATTGACAAAGGAACCGATTTCCACCTATTTAATTAGAGGTCCAATCATGACAATTGACAATTTTGATCATTTTCTTCTATCGAAAAATTACTGATCCGAATACGAACGGGAAAAAACTTTTCTTTATAGATTTTGAACTGTCGAATAAAATGTGCAGGTTCGAACGAAAACTTTATAAACTTTGTATCGGTGCACTGCAAAAGTTACAACCCCCCATCAATGATTGCGATGATTGTAAGTGCAGATTTACTAAAAATTACGTTTCAGTTTAAAACGAGAATGAAATTTACTTTTTTATTATACCTGAATCACAATCTCCGTTTTAAACACTCAAATGCGTGCGAAAAAGGGCCTTTAAAACACACGTGCTTTAAAGTTGCTAAGTAACGATACTTCAAGTATGACTTTTGAAACTGTCATCTGGATGAAATAAAAAATCCTCTTAGGTCGCTTTCTGTAAATGCAGAACATTTCTTTGGCTTTTGTACCTATCCTTTCGTTGAAGCTTTCACAAACGCGCGTAATTTAGGGTATGCTTCCAAATCTGTTCCACTTTTTAATCGCAGCATTGCTTTAAAGTTTTGAATGAATGCACCAAAATATAGAAGATTTAAATACCTTTGACATTTCCTTCATATATGCCAGCATTATGGATGCATTTAAGACTGTATTCGTAAGTAACTTCCTATTCATCCATGGAAACAACTTTTCATATTCTTTATAATAGGCTTTACTGGAGTTGGATTTTACACCCACCAACGTTTGTTTAGATTTTACAACAATCGATTTAATGGGCGGTGTATTATCTTTTTCAACGGAAATCGTTTAATTCACAAAGACGATGATTTTTATAAGCAAACGTCAAGTGACATTTCCATGGCAATCGTGAAATTACGAACACCCAGCCCACTTAATTAGACATGTATTCGAGTATAACGTCAATATGACTTCATTGTATTTTCTATTTTTAGATTATACTGCAGGTATAATAAAAAATACTATAGGTAAGATACACGTGTATAATTAGTCTTTAAAGCACTTGCAACGTTAAAGGCACTCCGCTCGCGTCGTGCCCTTAAACTCGTTGCGCGTGCTTTAAAGACTTGATTATACACTTGTATCTTAATATACTATTAGAGGGGTTGCATATAGATCAATTAAACATAATCGATCAAAGAAACCAAAATTTTCTCTCTATAACCAAAATATTTATTTAGAAAGCGTAAATTCAAAAATAATATGAAAATAATTTTCTCATAGGTTACTAGGTCAGTCAAACAAGACATGCAATATCGGAAAAATGAAGCGAATGTGATTTTTTGATATGTTGTTAGCCAAAGACTTGAAGAGGATAAAATTTCCTACAATTGGTTGTAGAAAATGTATTCACCTTTTATTTATGCATAGAGCTGTATAAAGAATGAGAAACTTCTCAAAGTCTGGAGTTTCTCAAACTTTAGTGCCTGATAATTTACATTTTATTTGTAATTTGTAGGTTACTCACAAGAAATAGTGACGAAGATCTTGCAGGCCAATACCTCAAACTCCATCTTTTCCGGAAAGTTTCATCTACAATATGCATGGAACGCGAAGTGGGAACGTGGCTTCACCTGGCTGCTCTAGTAGCGGCTCCAACGAGTGACATGCTAAAATGTTAAACTGTTAGGTATGCTTTCACTCATTGGCTTTTAGATATTGATTGGACGGTATGAAAACAAGTTAATTTAAGGAGCACTTTGAGGGTTGGACCACCCACAACCTACATTGCATACTGAACTTAAAAAAATACGGCTTTATAACACGATCCACATCTTACCCCTAAGCCCAAATTTGAAACCAATTTATTGTTTAATTAATATTAGGTATTCGATGAAATTTATTGACCACGGTCCGAAAGTTAATTTTTGTTTTTAATAATGACAATGACGCAATCACCTCGTCACAGAGATTTTAGCAGGAGATGAAAATGTTAAAAGTACACTTCCTCCTCCAAAACTAAGGTTTACGTGTCTGAGCGTATTTGCAAAAACTAAACCTGGGAGAAAACTTCTCGATGCGCCACCTAATCTCTGGCATTACATTAATTAGGTATTATCATAAAGTCAAAACTCACTCTTTTCCCGTGAAGTACATCGCGTTGGTAATCGACGAATTGAATCCATAAAAATTCCATCAGAAGCAATGGAAGTGGAAACATTTGAAGCACTCAGGTATTCCGTTCCAAAGTGGTGTTGGACAACCCCCTCTTCCGCCATTCTCTTCCAAAATCATGGTTTACGTATAGGAGCAGTTTGTCATTAATTTATTTGCAAGAAGAGAATAGGTGAAAACTTCTCGATGTGCCATCCACGTTGGACATTTTGACGTCATACGTGCGGAGCACACACACACACACACACAACCGCTATTACTGGCGATTCATTCGCAAATGATTTACATTGAAGACTAAATAAAATTGTAACTGCGATTTAGATAAAACAGAAACAGATGCATGTTAGTTGACCACATGCCTACGTAATACTTATGTAAAGAGTGACGCACCTGAAACAATTCGCTCCCAATAAATCGGCAACTGAAAGAAATATACAGTGATTTTGATTTGTTTTTGGGCAGAAAAACCGCTGTCTAAAAAAGTAAAAGACTACAACCTTTGATGTAGTGGTTCCATCTGTAAAAAGATGGTTTTGGATTCTACAGGTAACAATCTATACGAAAAAGTCATTTTCCAGTCGATTCAAAATTTGTCGATTCAAAGGGCTGTAACTTTTGATGTAGAATCCCAATCTGTTAGCAGTTATGGATTCTACATGCTAAAATCTATAAGAAAATGTTTTTTCTCTTCTATCGAAAAATTACTGGTCCGAACATCTGCAGGCTCGAACGAAAATTGTAGAAACTTTGTAACGGGCTCTTCGTTTCAAAGAAACTGAATTTTATTTATGTTAATTTTAAACGGCGTTCAATTAATTGTATTGATGTCTATTGATATTTATATTTCATTATGAAGCTGTACACGTATAAAATTTAAAATCAAAAGCGACCACCTGTTACTAATGAATGATACAGAAGGTAATTTAATCCCTATATATAGTAACAGTATTGAATGTCTGTAATTTTCTGAAATATCACTGAAATAGCACAAGATTAATCATCGCCTTTGCAAAATAGTGAGGATTGAGAAAAACTCTAGAAAACAATTGAATCTAAATTTTAAAAATAAACACATTTTTGTTATACCAGATATTATTTTTTATAAGCATTGTGCGATAATAGTAATTAACAATGGTAATGTTTATTTATAGAAAACGAATGACGGACTGCATGGCCTAATGGCGTGTGAACTAAACTACAAGCTCGATTCTTAGTCTTTTGCGCTAAACTAATGAAATTGGGCACCTGATGGTTATCTGCGACTAAAGACATACCCCTTTTACCTTGAAGTATTTGATGGCAACGAAAGAGCGATTAAAATTTCAAACGTTGGCGCAACAAAATGTTAAAATATGGTTTGGTATTAGAAATATATACAGGGTGATTCCTATAGTACCTGCCACCGTTTGGGAGCGTGTAGGTGGTGCGTAGGGGAGTATTTTGATATAGGACACTTGGGGTCGGAAATCTAAAATAAGGGTGCCAGAGCCAAATTTACCTTCTGGAATTTCGCGCCTGTAGGTAGGCAACCCAACCGGCCGGCGGTGCACACGGAGCGATCTCAGGCGGCGATGTGTGGCTGACACTTGATCAGAATTTTGTTTAAACCCACGAAATCCCGTCTGCAACGACGCGTATCAAGTGAATAAACACTATGGCACGTTTTACTAACACGGAATACGCGGACATGCACTTCATGTACGGATTGGCAAATGGTAACGCACGAGCTGCACGACGAGCGTACGCTGAGCGGTATCCAAACCGTCAGTTACCCTGCAGACAGGTCTTTCAAGAAGTTCACTTCCGACTGTGCGAGACAGGGCAATTGCAGGTAAGCTGACGGAGGCTTAACTTTACACACAGATTCGTGATGCACATCGATACTTGGGTCATTTAAGCACCATTTCGAAAAGTTTGTTTGTTTACACCGACCTCCTCCTATTTCGCAGCCCACTAGCGCCCGTGATCGCGATCGCCCGTTGGTAAATGCCTTAGAGGAGGATGTGTTGGAACGTTTCGAGGCAAACCCGCGTACTAGCACTCGACTTGTAGCAGATCAGGTGGGTTGTAGTCAACACACAGTGTGGAACATCGCCAACAACAACAACTTACACCCCTATAAGTTTAAGAAAGTGCAAGAGTTACGGCCGGGTGACCATGAAAGGAGGCTGGAATTCTGCAACTTAGTCGTCCAGGAGGAAGAAGCTAATCCGAACTTTCTGAGGAGCGTGCTAGTTACTGACGAGAAAGGATTCTCAAGAGAGGGGACCTTCAATCCTCGTAACAGCCACTACTGGGCGGAGCACAATCCTCATGAAACGTTTACGCGAGGATACCAGGACAAGTTTTCTTTAAACGTTTGGGCTGGCATCCTGGGGGACAACCTACTGGGGCCTTACATCCTCCCTCCGCGTCTAAATGCCCATAATTACCTGATTTTCCTGCGCGAGGTGCTACCAGAACTTTTAATGGATGTTCCAGTGAACTTGTACTGGGACCACTGGTTCCAGCACGATGGGTGCCCTGCTCACTACGGGCGGCAGGTGAGGGAACACTTGGACCAAACCTATCCGGACAGATGGATCGGCCGTGGAGGTGCGGTGGAGTGGCCTGCCCGCTCGCCCGACATCACCCCATTAGATTTTTACTTGTGGGGTGTGATGGAAGCGCACGTCTACGAGACTCCCGTCGAATCCGAAGAGGACTTAATTGCGCGCGTCGTCATGGCCGGAGAGGCTGTTCGCCAGGACATAGGAGTCTTCACGCGAGTTCGAGGGGAGTGGTTGGCTAGATGTAGGAAGTGCATTGAGAACAACGGTGGCCACGTTGAACACTTGTAAACGTTATTGCTTTTGACTGTCGTTTTCCCTCCTTCCCTCCCATGTCGCTTCCTCGCGCTAACTCGCTCTGCATCGCTCCGCGCGAAACGTCGGTCGGTTGGGTTGCCTACATACAGGCGTGAAATTCCAGAAGATAAATTTGGTTCTGCCGCCCTTATTTTGGATTTCCGACCCCAAGTGTCCTATATGAAAAGACTTCCCCTAGGCACCCCCTATACGCTCCCAAACGGTGGCAGGTACTATAGGAATCACCCTGTATAGTTTACAAATATAGGTAGTTATATGAACATTTCTAACGATAGCATATTACTATATCATGTATAAAATTATTAACTCAAAAAGTTTAGGCAAATACAAGATATACAATAGAAGTAGGTAAAAGAGATAGAAATATCGCAAAGGTGATCACTGGTGCAAATCCTGCTACACCTACATTTATGGATGGATCTGGAAAACAAAAAAAAATGCTCAGATTTCTAACAGATTTCATACATAATGCAACGTGTCGATTGAAAATTTAGCTGTACCAATAACAGAATTCCATCTCGAGAAAATGTTTGTTTTTAATATTTCGTTAGTGTGAATATACTAGAAAAATAACTCACCGATCTTGTTCATCCCCAGGCACATTTCTGGTAATATAAATTCTTCAGACGCACCCTTGATCAAAACTGCAAAAAATACATATTTTGCATTCATTGTGGTTGAGATACTTCGCCTAAGGTAAACAGAGAAGCACAACCAACACGTTAGATTAAAGTGTCGTTGATCTAATTTCAATAACTGAGAACAACGAATATTTCTGGGTACAAAATTACGCGTATCCTGGGCGGACATGGCTACGATTAGAACCGCCTCCCCTACCAGCGTCCTAAGGTTCATCTCACGTGTAGGATGGCTTGAGTGACGTTGAGGGGTCGGGCGACCCTAGTCAGGGAGGTAGTACAAATAAGGACCCGAATTTGAGGCCTAAGTACGCGTGGACCCTGTTCACCCTCCTATCGTAATCCAGTCATTGGGATTGCACTAATTGTTAAGTAAACTCCTGACTTGACTTTTCGACTAATTTTAATAAGCATTGCAATACTCTATTATCTTTGGTCATAGTATATAACATTTAGGAAATGCTGTCTAACGTGTCGTTATTTTGAACCCGACGCAAAAAGTGTATAAGACTTTTTTGCAGATCTCATCAAGATATACCTTTTTTGTAATACAGTTTTCACTTTGATGTGTTTGGAGAAAAATGTAATTTAGAAAAATAAAATAAATACCTACTTTGACTTTTCAATTTAAACCTTCTCAAAAACTAGAAAACTCTGTAATGACTTTTGGTGTAGTTTTTTAAATCACTGTGTATATGAAAAAAATTTTTTCAAACCACATACACACCCACACTTCAAGTTAAAAATCACTTTTTTGGAGTTTGTGGCAGAGCTGGGATGATTACTCAAAAAAAGTAAATCGAATTGTGATTACAATTACTTGTCATAAAAGTATTTAATTACAGTACCTAATTGATTACTTTAGAAAATTTGAATTCAATATTACTAATTACAATTGTGATTGATTACAAAGGTAATTACATTAAAGATTTTAAAAATAAATTCTCGTTTCGAGACGTGACACAAATTGATGTTATAAGTCATCTTTACAAAATTAAAACTAAAGCTGTGGGACTAGACGGTGTTAGCTTAAAAATGATAATCCTATGTAGTCCCGTAATATTACCTCATATCACTTTCATAATAAACTTTTGCTTAAAGAATAACGTTTTTCCCAAGGTCTGGAAAAGTGCCAAGGTAATACCCCTGCCTAAAGTCAACCGACCACAATCATATACTGACCTTCGGCCAATAAGTATTCTGCCTTGTACTATCAAAAGTCTTGGAGAAAATTATGGCGGAGCAAATAAAACATCACCTGAAACATTTTGATATTCTATTAGATTCGGGGAACCTTTCGCTATTAGTTTTGTTGGATTTCTCCAAGGCTTTTGATACTTTCAACCACTAAATTTTACTCGGCATTTTAAGCTACGTGGGCCTTGATGATGAATCTTGTACCTTATTGGAAAATTTTTTGACGGGTAGATCGCACCGTGTAAGTCTAAACGGTCTAACTTCTAATGCGGCGACACTAACCTCTGGAGTACCACAAGGTTCAATACTGGGACCATTGCTTTTCATTATTTATACGTGCAATTTTGGTAAGTCACTCAAGCATACTATGTTCCATCAGTACGCAGATGATACTCAGCTGCAATATAATTTTAGTTCAGGTGATGCAGTTAATGCAAATATGCGTATAAATGAGGATGTTGAACGATTAGTTAAGACCTCCGAAGAGCATGGTTTGCGTATAAATCCTTTGAAGTCATCAACCATTCTTTTTGGAAGAACTAAAGCCAGAAACACTGTGGCTAATGACATTAAAATAACTGTGAAAGATGTTACACTTTCACATGTGTCAAAAATTTAGGTCTGCATATTGATGTAGATCTAAGATTTAGAACCCATGTAGCCCATATTGTTCAAAGAGCTTTCAGCAATCTAAAGATCATATATAATAATAGGCACATATTTAATAAAAGGATAAAAATAATGTTGTGTGAGGCTTTAGTTCTTTCACAATTTAGCTACTGTGATGTTATATACGGAGCTTGTATAGATAGTGTAGATATTCGGCGTATACAGAGAATACAAAACTCGTGTATGCGTTTAATTTTCGGAATTCGAAAGTACGAACATATATCTCACAAGCTAGAGGCATTGGGTTGGTTAAATATGGCAAATAGACGAAAGTTTCACTCATCTGTACTATTTCACAAAATAGTTGTAAGTAAAGAACCTGCATATCTATTTGACAAGATCCAATTTTGTACAAATTCAAGATATACCTCTCTAATAAAGCCTCCTTTTCACAGAAGTGCATTGTTTGAGAGATGTTTTTCCTATAACATTGCCAAGCTCTATAACGATTTACCTGGTGTCTTAAAAAATATGGCTATCAACATCTTACAAAAAAACCTATACACTTTCCTGCTAAAATGTCAAAGTTCCTCGTAGCGTGTGATGAAGTCGTTATTTATTTCTTATCTAATACTTCACTTCTTTACTTCTACTATTACTCTTCCACTTACTTATTTACTTGTTATTTCCCTTTGTCGTTCTTCTTACATAAGATTAATAAGAATCCCAAATTGTTTCAAATCTTCTTCATAATACGTTTTATAAGTTTATTTATATACCTAATGGCATAGTGTAAGAATAGAATAGTGAAACAACCTTACGGAAAAAAAAGGTAACCGATTTGGACATCGAGATTTTTTAGTTCTGGACGCGACAATCTGAAAGGGGGGCGCAGAAGTCGTGGATTTTAAAAGTAACCGATGTTACAAACTCTTAACAATAAATTGCCACTTGATGCTACGCTAGAATAGATGGCGCGTTCTGCAAAGCGAATTTACAGAAGGAATATTATACCTACTTTTATCTCATTTTTATGCGTAAGAAAAATAAAGAGGTAAATTAATCCATGCAAACATCCCGACAATAATGCTCCTTTGTTATTACATTCTCGAGTACGTCAACTGAGTCATCACATTCTACAGACCTCGTTTAAATAACCTACCTTAATATTTCAAATGTTAGGTACCTACTTAAAATCGCATACGCTCTCATATAAGTACTTAGTAAAACTACGTTTAAAAGTTCACTGGCCACAAATTCGTATTGAACGTTTAGAAGTAAGCAATTAATAATTTATAGTATATAGCATAGGTACTAGCATAGACCATGGTCTATGGTACTAGGTAGTCACGTTGTGGGAAATTCGCGGAATACAGAATGTAATTTAGGTACCTACTCATTATTAGTGAAACAATAATACAGAATTTTTCTGAAGACGTGTTGAACGCACGCAAAAAAAATTCATTCGTGTGTTATTTAATTTACAATGTGCGAACAATTTAATAGCTGTAAGCTCATCTGAACTTGACAATTTTATTTCGAGTTATGGATCTGGATGCCTCCCACAAAGTTCAAACAAAACCTTAGAACGAGTTTTTTTGAGGAGGGTCTTCTTTAGGCGGTTCCAGGGCGGTTCTCTTTGTGCCAAAGGTGAACTTCTTCTGAATATCATCACTAATCCTACATTCTTATTACTTAATCATTAAATTAGCTCCCCCAAAAATTAATACAAAAAACCCTAAATAGACTTTATCTCTAAAATAATTAGGGAAGCCAATAATCGCATGTTATGAATTTTACATTGAAATCCCTATGATGCGTTACGCAAGTCACCACCCTGTACAGTGTGTGACGTAACTGGTTAATATCATGAATCTTCTTTGGACACCGGTACAGATTTAAAATAATTTTAAGTCCTGATTTAATTAAAACTGCTATATCTGCATTCAGTTCTTGAAATACATCTAAGTCTCGACACAGATGTGATAATTACCCAAATCATAGAAATTTCAATAACTTTTTTGTTTTTTGATCAATAGACTTAAACTTTATTATAGGTAACTTTTGATTCTCCATAAAAAAAGTCTCTTGAGTTTTTTTGATATGTTTTACGAAATATTTAATAAATTCGAAAAAATCAAGATGGCGGTCATTTTTTTCCAAGTTCCACCAATGCGACAAAGTGCGATTTTTGTGGGGTTAATAAGGACCCTATTGGATACTCATTTCCGCAGAGATCACTTTGTTACTAATTTTTTCTACCTTAACCACCTATTTTGACTAGCCTATGGACAGAACAATAAAATCGAGAAAGGAACCAATGACACCCCGTTTTCCAGATATTAGTATTTGAAGTTTTCACCTTATTAACGCGTGTAGTTCTTCCTCCCTCCACCACCTTTTTATTAATATCTTTTTTGTATTTTTGGAGAAATGTGGGTGAATAGTAAATCCCAGACAAAACAAAAAATTCACAAAAATAATAAGCTTCTGCTATTTGCTTTATGGGCTCTATTAAAACTGTACTAACAAGACCCCTTGACAATCCATGGTGTAAGTATTTGATCAGCTACACTTTATTAGGTAACATAATTTACTAAACATAATCATCCAACACTTTACTCTATACAATTGTTTTTTTTTTGTTCTAAACAAGCCATACAAAAGATCAGTTAAATTTTTTTTGGGACACGTGATATAAAACCAATTAAACAAAGATTTGTAATTAGCAAAACAAGACCAACTTAAAAATCTACTTCCGCCAACTTCTGGGGTTCCCACGTCCCCGAGCACCTCTACCCCGACCTCGGTTACCTGCACCAGACAGTATTAAAAACACAAATATCAAACTATTAACTTACTGAAAGTACTGCTAAACTTTCCACTCGGAGGAGTGTACAACGGAACGCCATCACCCCGCGACTGTTTATTCTGTGTAGCAGATCCGTTACTCTCGAATGTGATGGGAGTGTGCCGTTTCCCACTGGGCGAAATCTTCTCAGGGGTCGTTTTGGCAGCAGTGGCGATTTCCTCGGATTTGAAAGACAGCTTAATCACGCATTGATACTTGGGGGGTTGATAGAAGAGATCCCTGATCAGTGTGGTAATATTACTAAGAAGCTTGGGGGCGACGGTTTTCGTTTTTTTGTCTTCATCCGTCAACGGTTTATCATTAACATCTAAATTATTCAAAGCCTTACTACAACCTTGCACTCCTCGCGAAAAATACGTAAGTCTCGACCGAAATTCTTTCAATACTTGAGGATCGTGGGTGAGGAAATCGGGGCATTGTCTGGCTAACCTGTGAAATGCGTACAGTAAACATTCGACGAGTGAGAACTCTAAAATTGGCATCGTTAGGTTTGTGGTGTCCTCTGGGGGTGGTGGCATATAATCCTAAATCAGCGACGGTTAGGATAAATTTGAAAATCACGCTCTCACCTTTAGTTTTTGATATATTTGAACAACGTAAAGTGACGGATTATCCAACTGGCCGCAGTAAGTACTCAGTTCGGCTAATTGTCGTAAAATCGCCAACTGTAACAGGTCTCCCTTTTCCAATTTTCCAATTTCGTCGAACTTCGGTAAAACCTTGTCACACAGGTACGTTACGAACTTGGTCGATTCAACTTTAGCCTAAATTTTCGGTTAGTCTATGTCAAAGCTTAAGGTAAAAAATAGAATAGCGAAACGTTACGTAGAAAAAAGGAAACTGAATCGGACATAAAGGCCCTTTAGTTCTCTTAAAAAATATGATTCTTCCGAGTATCAAAATCTCGATAGGACTAAGCAATTTAATTTAAATTTAAAAAAGATTTAAATGATTACAAAGACACAAGAATTTCAAAAAATTTAAAAGGGTGGCTTAGAAAGAATTGAAGCACCAAGAGAATTCAATTGTTTGCATTTTTTTTCTATATGGCCACCCCACTATTCCATTTTTTACACTACGGTCAAAGTGGTCACAGATCTCCTTACCGAAAAGTAGGGGGTAACCATTTTAATACACGTTAAAAGCTTATCGACCTGAGCATTTTGCACGGTCGGATGAAACTCTTTGTGCAATTCCGCTTTTTCCACGGCCATGTTCACCAACTCCTGTTGACCGGTGAACGACTGACTTATACGGGTGGACTTCAATAAGTCAATCAATTCGACGTACTCCTGTCCTGAAATGTCCTGGAAAGGGTTGAAGTTGATCGAGCACGAACGAGAAATTTACATACCACTAATGAATTCTTGACTTCTGTGATCATTACGTCTTCAACTTCTGGCGTAATAATTGACTTATCCATTCCTTTGACTTTAGTTAGTAGGAATTTGAGACATTTGTCGCGTACCTCGTTGTCACGTTCGTTAATCTGCTTGAACAGATTTTTGATGACTGATTTAGCGTCCAAGTGCAGCAATTCCGTAAGTGAGGTGCAAACAATGTGGTGCTCGGCTGCATCCTCGAGTTGTAAGAGCTGCGCTAGTATATCAGACACTTTGCCGGTGTAGCTTTTATTATCCTTGCAAAGTGAGGGTAGAACCTTCACGCCACCAATTTGTATCTACAACAAGTAATCGGTAAACCTGCAAACGTAGTCTTACAGTCATACAAGTGGGTCTATATCTTCGCAAATATCAAAAATTGCTTCTAGTGCCTGCTCTTGCAATGTGGGAAAGTATTTAAAGAAGCTTGCAATCATTTGTGTAGCCAGCTTCTTTTCTCTTTCGGTCCCTTTCGTACTTTCAATTGCTTCCAGGTACTCGCGAGTATGCTATAATGCAATTAAAAGAAAAGCACCAACATACAGTGTGCAACATACCTCGCCAATTTTATCCTTAGCGGCCGATAATGCCATATAATGTTCATATAACGTATCGAAAGAGACGCCTACCATTGTAAATTATTGCTTTTAATAATTCCGCATGCAAGAATCTCTCCAAATCTCCAAATTGGCGCCTTTATACACAAACGGTAATTTACAAACACGTAAAACTGTTAAACAAGCTAAAAAATTAATGTGGTAGTTGGTAGTGTGTTAGTAACTTCAGCGTTGCCAACATTATAAACCGATGATTCTGGTAGTGGCTCACATATCGCTTATAATAGAAGGTGGTTTTATACAGGGTGATTTAGAAGTATTGGTCTGAATTAGTAACTAATTTTTTTCTGTTATAACTGTAAATTAAGAAACCAGTGCCGCCGTTTTCTGTATGTAATTTGCCTTTTATTACTTTTGAACAAATTTCACACCTAACAGGGCACTGAAAGACGTATCAAACGTGACTGTGCCCAGTGTAAATTTATAATTTGTTGTAAAACTAAAGCAGTATTTGATCTTGAATCAGTACTGACTTCAAAAATCTTTTGTAATGCAGAAAATTCAAGCGTTCATCACTTCTAAACAATCACCCAGTACTTGGCCTGCCTTACCATCTTTTCTGTAGACAATCGGGTTTATTCAAAAGTTTGCAATCAATAACCGGATTACGAAATTGTTTGAAAATTTTCAATATTGAATAGTTTAACAACTGATTTTTCTGATTGCTACAAAATAACTTGTTTGAATAATTATACTATACGATGAACTAATCCACTTCTCGCAGCAGAAAAAAGAATTTACATTATTTAATCGATATATCTTTAAATCTGAAGGCCCGGAACAACAAATTTCCGGCATAGCCTTCCGATTTTGTAAAATTTTTTTTTGCTACTCAAGAGTTTGTCCCATAAACACTAGCCTGTTTGCAACTAATTTAGACAATAATTGAAGTAACACGGCGATCGAAAGATACTTTTCCGCTGTTTAACGGTGCAATTTGTTTTCTTTTCCCAATACAAATTTTTTACGGTTAATCCTTGAGGAATCTCTGAAGTGTGTAAACTCCTTTGAAATTTTTTAATCCGAACTTTTTTGGGCACAGCATTTAACCTACTACACCCAACTTTCGGACAAATCGGCTACGTTAACTTAGACAACATCAGCAAAATCGCTTATGAAAACTTCTTAAAATCCTTCAGAAATTATCTCAACAATTTTAAAAGGTGTTCTGAACACTGTCTAAAAATCTTTGCAGAATCTTCGAAATTCAGTAAGAATTTGAAAAATATACCTACCAAAGGATACCTGTCCATAAAGATCTCTGAAGGGCCCTTGAATTGGAAACTGAACTTATTTGACATACTCTTTCACGGGCTCTACGTGTTGAGATGTAATAAATTTAAAAAAAAAACGTGCAGCCTTCTACGAGATTCTAGTGCAGACATTTCAAACCCTCAGACGGATGTGCGAGCGGAATTATACAGTCTACCGAATGTTAGAGAACATCTTGGTCGTAGTTGTTAGAATATCTGAAAAATCACGCATAATTCTAAAAGTTATTTCAGAGAACATCCCTAAAAAAATACCAAATTGTTGAAACTCCAATTAAAAGTACCTACTTACCTATGTTTGGTGGCAAATATTTGTTGTCTGCTTCTAAAGTTAGTCCTACGTCGGTGATTTATTTCTCTCTCTGGGACATACTGTAATTAAATCTTAATCTTGTCCAAAATGTAGCAAAAAAATTCCGAGACACTTAAATGAAAGATCAACCCTGATTTCATACTTACCAAAAATACTTGCCGAGTACTTTGTTCATTTGGGGGTTCAAAATTGATTTCGATTTCGTATCATTTCAATGTCACTTTCCTTTGAGGTACCTACAGCAAAACAAAACATACTATTCTTATTAACAAAATTGAACACATTCATAGTTCATATTTTAATTTCAATTGTTTTTGCGGTACAAAAAAACTGTACCTTTTGGTTCGAATCATATTTGAACTACCCTCCGTCATGTGACAACCATTCCATTCAGTTTGTCGGCGACTAGGTTTCTCCTACTGCGATTATCAAATTGGTTCCTTGAGTTTCAGTCTTGAGTCTGCTTTAGGAATTGTAGCCTCCATTGTTGGGCCAAGTGACCAGTCAAGTTCGGGATCAGTAGTTACGAACAACTGGACTCCTCCAGTCCAGTTCCTTATTATCGGGGTCCTTTGACAAGTCTTTTAAGGCTTCCAAAACTGAGTAGAGGCCAGATTAGGAAGAAAGTCTCCATGGGGCACTGAACGGTGAACTATCACCTGCACATTGGGTTTGTGGAGGAGCCCACGTGCAGGTTCTGTGGTGAAGCAGATGAAACTATCGAGCATGTGATCTATCACTGTGACATCTAAATCAGAGACAGACATCAGCTCCTTGGCGACAGTTTTCTGGAACCGGGGAGGATGATGCAGCTTAGACTTAACAGGGTCTCAACCTTTATAGAAAGAAACGCCCGGTATGTACTTTAAAGGTGCACCTGTCGATTCTATCTGTCGCAGGTGACCTGTCACTTCCATCTGTGAAAGTACACTTACAGGTTGCCATAAATAACTGAAATGTGAATAATTTTAATAATGAACCTAAGGGAATTACCTCAACTCAGATGTTAGTTAAAATTCGTATCCATCTCAAGGACTTCTGTACCAGCAATAAGAAATCTTTGATCTGTGGTATCAACTAAATCGTCATGCTTTTATGGGCAAATCAATTCCAATACTCGATCAAAATTACACTACAAGAGAAGTATCTACAATACCCATCCAAAGAATCCAAGAGCTATTCTTAACAAAACTAGATTTTTTCCCTATTCGTCAGCGTATCTAATAAATAGTCGAATAAATTCCGTAATAAAATACTGAAAGAACGCAATTTTACGAGGCGACCAAAATGAAAGCAAAAAAATCGCATTATGTCTCATATTGAGATTCGCTCCTCAATATTTACATCAGACAAATTCAAGCGGTTAGATAACATTTGGGGGAACAATGAATCATGTTGAATCTACAGTGGCTGAAATGTATCCCAAAGGTTCGCTTAGCGTCGCGACGCATTCTGATTTATGTAGTCTCCAGTGATATTCAGAGAGGTTATCATTGTCGATCGTGCTTTGCATTACATTCCCTGCACTCTTTATACCATCTGCATTTTTAGTACTTACCGTTTTTTTACGATTACTCAGATGTAAACTTTAACGCTAATTTAAAATTTTATAGTTTATAGATTAAATATGAAAGGGTGCCGACTGGTTTACACATAAAAGTTTCATTTAATATTTTTTTAGGAATTGAGTCGTTATAAATTAACGTAAATCTAACGATAAACACCGAATAAAATTCTTTATATGCGCGTAGTTATTTCTTTTTTTCTTCTCGGTTTAGCCCTAACACATCCGTGAGTTAATGTGACCATAAAAAAATAATTGGTGCTCCTTTTAGATGAGCTGGCGCGTTCTTTGATAGGCTGTAAAAGGATTTTGGCAACCGTTTTATTACAATTTTGGGTTGCGCTAGTGAAAAAGATTTCTCAATTCATTAGTCGATTACATCCTTTTTCGTATAAACATTAATTTCAAATGACGCTCTTTAATTTTGTGAACTGGAAAGAAATTATGGCAGCGGTCTGTCCGCACGTACATCAGTTGATTCGCGATGGACTGATTTAATTTACCTCCCAGTACAACATGGCGGATGTAGAATAACATCAGCTAGCAGTGGTGATGGTTTTCCAAGTGAATCTTAAGTAGGTACGTGGAGCACCCAGTCATTCCAATTTTAGACGAGGCAGTTTAATAATAAGTAACGAAAGTTTGTCAAGTTAGTGTGATAGGTATATTCGCATTGCTTCTTGGAGTTTGAGACGGTTTCCGAAAGATTATGGTAGAAACAGAAAGATAAAACAATATGTACAAAAAAGGCACTAATAGATTGGAAATTCTTAGTGGGAAAAACAGTTTCCATTGTCCAATCCAAATTTATGATCACCGAATAAATACAACTTTTACACAGGGTGAGGATTTGAGGAACGTCTAGCGTAAAAATTATGAAAACATGTGATAGGGGGACGATTAAATCCGAAAGGAATTGCTCATTGCTCGTGTCTTTTGTTGGGTGGAAAAAATGAATGCACCCTTCTTGTGGAAATTTTCCTTCCGTTTTCCCATGCCCTCCCCAATCCGAAAAGGTGCAATCATTTACAAAGCGCTGAATCGGATATCAATAACTGGATTTGATATCTGAAATATTGCAGTTTGAAGACCGACGAGGAAGACATAGATAGATAAATATAAATTAATATTGTAACTATATCTTCTAGGAAAATGGGTTAAAAATTTTAAATAAGCCAAGGAGATACGTGTTTCAATTAGGAGGTACCTACCCTTATAAAAATATCAAATATGATGCCTTTACATAGGCTATTGGGTAATGGGTATGTATGTATTTTGCGTTGCAGTCGAATACGGGACAATCATCATTTGATGCGACACCACCGTCTTCCTTTCTGATGCTTGACGAAACCTATAACTTCATACCCATACAAAACATAAGCATTTCCAATGCTAAAATAGATCCAAATTATTACAATTTCTTTCATGTAACGTGATCATTTATAAACATTCGTTATTATCTCCAAAGTTTGTTTACATATTCGCTATTGTTTTCACCGGTCAAATTAATTATTTATTAAACGTAAGTGATTTCGATAATTACTTACCTTCAAGGATTATAGTTTATAATCCTTGACTTACCTTAATATCACATTAGAAGGAATAAGAGCATTCCAGTTCCTTTACATACAGATAAGACAGTGCCGGTTCTATTGAGTACCTATTAATTACATTACATTTAATGTGCACATAATATGATAATATTGATAATATTTCAATACCTAATTGACTTTTAATAAGCTATCATCAACTTACAGTGTTAAGTAATCACCATTTTCCGGTCGTAAAAGGTTGGAATTTCTAGTTTATTTGTTGGTTTTTCACATTGTCAAATAATGTCACACCCACTGAGGACAAAAGCAGTACCCCTTATAAAAAGTGCTCGGATAATTCCATTTTGCGAATTAAATTGTCCGTTTTACCAGAAAAGGTTGTGAAATGGTTTTAACACTAGATCAAAATGCAAAAAACTTATTCAAAATACGAATTATTCTATTCTGCCATGATAGTCTTG